TTTAAAAGTTAAATGAAATTAGATAAAATTTAATAAGCATTAAATTTAAGAGTGGGGACTATGTCTGATTCTTCATTTTATCCCTCATATCTAGAACCAGAGCCCAGAACATAGTGGTAATTTAATTACTCAAAAAATAGTTGTTGGACTGATCTTGAATAATTAAACTAAACCCTAAACAATGAGTAGGACTTCAATTAAGTAACATCGGGACACACAGAGCTGGTCTTTCCAAAGAAAAGACACCTACAGCATGAGAAAAATAAGAAAAGAGGAAAATGCTAGCACAGAGTAATCCATCCTAATTTGGGTGGATGAAAGTTTTCACAGAAAAAGCCCTATTTGAAAGTTTAATGATTTTACGTGAAACACACAAGTTTCAGTAGTGCGGTGAAAATCGGAGTCTAATATCAGGAAGATGTACAATGAGAAGGTGGTGAGAGAGTAGAACAATCAGGGTGGATTCTTTATTTCAGACTTCTGGCTGCATGGGAGATGAATGAAATTGGGCAGGGAGAGAATTTTTATGTTAGAGAGAGTACATTCATAGGGAGAGAAAGAGAGAGAGAGGGAAATATTAAGATGCAAGTGGAAAAGAAGGCAAGACAGATGGGGCAGGAACTCTTAGGACACATGAAGGCACAGGATCAAAATCAAAGGAGTTAGAGATCCAGGACTAGATAGACGCAAGCCTCACCTTGGCTTTGCTATTAGCTATTTAATTTACTTTGGAGCAGATCACTTAATTCTAAGTTTGTTTTCTCATCTGTAAAATGGAGGTGAAACGTAAATCATCAGACTATGATATCTAAAAAAAATAACTTTTGTTAAATATTTGGCATACCTTCCATGCCACTATAAAAATAAGTATGTTTTTGGTGGAATCATACAGACCATACATCTGCTCATAGAATATATGAATATAGATAAGTGTATTAGTTTCCTAGGGCTTCTATAGTTCTTTTTTTTTTTTAAGATTTATGTATTTATTTTAGAGAGACAGAGAGAAAGGGGGGGAGGGGTAGAAGGAGAGAGAAACTCGAGCAGACTCCCACTGAACGTGGAGCCCAAAGCTGGGCTCCATCTCAGGAGCCTGAGATCCTGACCTGAGCCGAAATCAAGAGTCGGCCACTTAACCGACTGAGCCACCCAGGCACCCTGGTTCCCTAGGGCATCTATAACAAAGTACCACAAACTGAATGGCTCAAAACAATAGAAATTTATTATCTCACCATTCAAGAGGCCAGAAGTCCAAAACCAAAGTGTTAGCACATTTGATTCCTTCCTGGGGGATCAGAGGGAGAATATGTTCTATGCCTTTCTCCTAACTTTTGGTGGTTGCTGACAATCCTTGGTGTTCCTAGGCTTATAGCAACATAAATCCAATCTCTGCCCCTGCTGCAACATGGCCTTCTCCCTGTGTGTCCCTGTGTGTTCCTGTGTCTCTCCTCTTTTTTCTTATAAGGACTCCAGTCATGTTGGATTTCAAGCCCACTTCAGTATGATCTCAGTCTTAACTACTCACATGTCCAAAGACCCTCTTTCCAAACAAGGTCACATTCTGGGATTCCAGGTTGGCATAAATTCTGGGGGGACACTATTCAATCCAGTACAAGAAGTATGTTCCTAACTTATCCTTACTTTTGTAATGTCTTCAAGAGGCCATTAATATAAGAACCAGGCTTTGGGCCTTAGAGGGGAAGAAAGGAAAATGGCTGAGAGCTCAGTTCATGAACTTTGAATTCCTTCTATTCCTTTTCCCAGTTGTATAGCCGTGGAGACCACATCCTCTTTAGTTGATAATTTTCTCAACCAATAAACAGGGAGTAGTACTTCAAAGTGTTTTGGGGAGGACTAAGTAAAGTAATATAAGTAATGCACTTAGTCTGGTATCTGGCCCAGAAGGAGAGTGCTTGGCTCACTCAAAGGAGCCTGACCTGTGCTGTAGGTGGGGTGGAAGTGGGGGTTTCTGTTCACATAAACAAAGATGATTCATCCTTTTCATCTAGTTGCCAGCTACAAGCACTGTTTGCAGAGCCATTTGCATTGTTTTCACTAATCATTTTGCTACTGAGATTTCTCCGTGTCTGGTTATTCAATACTAACATGAATGATTTACCACCACTGGTGACCCACATTCCTTAAAAATGCTGGGTTACATGTCATTGTCCTTCAATGTCTAGCATTTCAGTTTGCCCATCGACTTTATAACACTTTATTGCTGCATAACCCAAAACAACTGCTTAAATATAACCATCACCATCATCATCTTCTTCCTTAAGTTGTTTTTGAAAGAATACTATTTAGACATATAAATAAATAATGTCTTAAGTTTTGTAAATGTAATACATTATCTTATAACTCTTACAGGTAGAAAACCTGGTATTTTATATCAATTTTTTAAAATAAGAAAATTGATGTTCAAAATAGTTACATGACAGAGTTTTTTTTTTTTAAGTAATCTCTACACCCAGTATGGGGCTTGACCTTACAACCCTGAGATCAAGAGTCCCATGCTCCACCTACTTGAGCCAGCCTGATGCCCCAAAGTAGTTATATGACAAATACAACACTTCAGTGTATCCTGATCAATGGAGATGTCATGTAAATATATCTTCCCCAGTGCGTGGCTTTTGTTGGCCATATTCTAGGAGTTCATTGTTTATTATCTGGTAATGAAATATAAACAATTTTAATCGATATATGCGGTCTGTGGTAATCACTATTTTATCCTAAAGAAAACTCACTACTCTACCTTGGAATATACTTAAAAGTGGCCTGAAGTTATATTGTCAAAATCTATATTGGTCTCCTGTTGGTTTGCTTGACTTAACACTCCATTTTGTTAGCTTGCTGTTTTCTAATATGCTATACTGAGAAGTTTGAAGGGGAAGTGACAATTTTAACAAACTCTTTGTGATTCATGATGCACTTTTTTTTTTATTTTTTACTACTTTTTAAAAAGTTTATTTTTTTTCGGGGCGCCTGGGTGGCTCAGTCCTTAAGCGTCTGCCTTCGGCTCAGGTCATGATCCCAGGGTCCTGGGATCGAGCCCCGCTTCGGGCTCCCTGCTGGGCGGGAAGCTTGCTTCTCCCTCTCCCACTCCCCCTGCTTGTATTCCCTCTCTAGCTGTGTCTCTCTCTGTCAAATAAATAAATCTTTTTTTTTAAGATTTTATTTATTTATTTGAGAGAGAGAATGAGATAGAGAGAGAGAGCATGAGAGGGGGGAGGGTCCGAGGGAGAAGCAGACTCACTGCTGAGCAGGGAGCCCGATGCGGGACTCGATTCCGGGACTCCAGGATCATGACCTGAGCCGAAGGCAGTTGCTTAACCAACTGAGCCACGCAGGCGCCCTAAATAAATAAATCTTAAAAAAAAAAAAAAGTTTACTTATTTTCAAGTAATCTCCACACACAGTGTGGGGCTCGAGCTCATGATCCCAAGATCAAGAGTCACAGCTCTTCTGACTGAGCCAGCCAGACTCCCCAATGGATTTTTTTTTTAAGATTTTATTTATTTGAGAAAGAGAGAGAGCACAAGCAGGGGGAGTGGCAGAGAGAGAGAGAGAGAAGCAGGCTCCCTGCTGAACAAGGAGCCAGATGCAGGGATGGATCCCAGGACCCTGGGATCATGATCTGAGCTGAAGGCAGATGCTTAACCGACTGAGCCATCTTGGCACCCCTTCCTGATGCATTTTTATGTCATAAGTCCAAACTCTTGTATTCCATTGATTTTGTGGAGCGATGTACACATACAGCACAGGAATGTAGTACCCTTTAACACTAGGTTTCCAGTCACACGATGGGCAAATAGTCTTTGGATTTTAAGTGATTTGAAGAATTTCTGTATGCTATTGCCTGTAATAAAGTGCATGCATAACTAGGCAGGCAAGGAATTTTACAGAGTGACTCGTGACATTAGGACGAATTATGCATTAATTTCAAATCTCTGAAAGCCCAAGGTTGTGTATCAACTACCTGAACCTAGAGAAAGAAAATGGACTAGAATGCCTTGCCACTTTCAACAAGTTGCACATGCTTTAGATTTGGTATTTTGGCTCTACTTGTATTCCAGAGTGTATCTATACCATCTTTTGGTTCACTTTATAGTAAGTAGAGCGATTTCCATTTATAACAGCTATATACGACAAGGAAATGCTTATAAAAAATCTCAGTGCATGTGTGCGAGCGACAACACTAGGCTGTTCCCGCGTCTTCCAAATTCAGTGGGAGATGAACTGAGAACTCTTTTCTCCACGTCTCATTTCTGTGTCTGTGATGTTAGCCCGGTATTCCACTACATATACTTTTTTTTAACAGAACACAGATTTCATGAGTTTGTGGCTTTCCTGAACTTCCTTTTTAAAAAATCCTGGATGGTATTGCAGATGAAAGTGATCCCCGTTACTTTTTAAACTGAACTTTGCGAAATAAAAATATAAACATTTCTGAAAGTTTATTTCAGAACACTCTAAACCCCCAGGAATGTTGATATTGATAGAAACCCGCAGAGATTAAGCAATTTAGAGATCTGGAATAAATAGGCACCACTTGGCAGTGGGTTTGGTAAAGAGAAAGCATTTCAGCACATGTTCTGCCACAAAGTATTTGGGAGTCTTAAGTCAGAGCTGCAGAATTCCTTCTGAAGAGGACAAAAGAGAGACTTCCTGTCATTTCGATTGGTTTCTGCATGTGGGACCAATATGGGCAATGCAAAGTTTAAACAGATGTAAATGATGAGGGGAGGGGGCCGAGCCCTGCCTTGTTTTACATATTTCTCCACCCAAATTGAATTTAAGTCAGTCTCTCCTAGGCGCTTCCCTAGTAGACTGCCACTAAGTTACCGCACGCTTGAATGGTTTATTTCACCAATATTTGCTTATGGAAATAAAGGGGAGTGCCGGGGGTGGGAGAGGGGGAGGAGGGGAGGAGGGGTTTGCGACCGAGGGAGGCTCGACCACAGCACCAGTAACCTTGTCTGATGTGATCATTAACCTTTCTGGCAGTTGTCTGAGGTTCTTCAGTAGAATGTGAGGGGAGCCACACAGATACCGCACAGACTATTCCAAGACTGGTTTACGTTGAGAGCTGTTGCTCTACTTTAGTGCGGCAGAAAAATGAGGTTGCAACAATTCCTTTTTGCGTTTCTGCTTTTCGCGATGAGTCTTCTTCTTATCAACGGACAGAGACCAGGTAGGACTTTGATACATGTGTACCGAGTAACTTGGTTCTGCCTGTTTGGGCCCGTGGGTGGGGGCATGATTATGTTCCTGCTGAAAATCACTTAGGTGTGTTTAGAGGTATTCGTAAGCGTGTAGGATTTCAGGAGTATGTTCTCTCTCCTGGTAGGTCTGTTATTTGAATGTTTTAAAAAGTAGGTGGGTTTTAAAATGATGATAAATATTTTGCCACTATTTTTTCTAAATTCAAAGAAAATTGATTCCTTAGCTATTTTAGATACATTGCCCTTATAAGTAAAAAAGAAATAGAACTGTTTGGTCTATTCATTACAGAGGTCAACAAACTTTTACGGATTTTTTAGGTAAAATACAAAATCCAAAGCGGTTGATTAGAAGAACATGTTGCTAGCTGGAGTGGGGCAATGTTAACAATTTGAATTAACAACAGAAAAATCATGTGACAAAATGCAGATGAAATCTTAAAACAGTTATGATAGCTGTTATTTCTAGTTATATAATTACATGTCTTGCTTTAAAAATGCAATTTTTAGTATTATTGTGCTAATAGAGCCAAAAATGTCAAAAATATTTATGGTCAAGATAATATTAATTGGTTTGACACATTTTTCAAAGATGATCTGTGTTGTGTTGTTCTTAACCAACAAGAATTAGTAAGCAGTCATTCTAATGCGCTTTTACTTCAAAACCAAATATCTAAGATTTCAAAGCACTGGTGAGTAAAAAAAAAATTAGGTTTTCTGACTCAGGAAAAGGCAAACCCACATTTCAATAGAAAGGTGGTAATATTTATTCCAAATACGTTATATTATTCAGTTGGTAATATACTTCTACATTTGGAGCAGAAAAGAGTGCATAACTGGTTAAAAATTCAGTCTCTCCCTTTTAGTTAATCAGAAGTTTGATCACTGAGGTTATTTCAAATGACGTCCCCCGGTTTGCCCTTTTACATAAATAAGAGAAAATGTGCAAATGAGCAATTCAGAAAGCAGCTGACCCCTTCTTACAGTTTATAGCAATTGCTAATCAAACTTTTCTGAACTACAGAACACCTTGGACAATGTTCTTATAAAATATCTGTGATTGATTCATTACATAAGATGAAAGGTCCAAGAGCATTTAGGAAGAAGTCATGTGGAAGGAGGAGGTTACTACTAATAGGTCCTGCTATAAACACGAGCTGTGAGGAATATATTTCGTGTTTTTGCATCACCTTAATTTTTATGTCACAATCACATCTGAACAAGTAGCAAATAATCACAACATAGTTTGGATGCAAAATTTCCCTGCACATTCAAACAACAGTTCATTTTCTGAAAAATGCTAATATTTCCCTTTTTTTCCTCAGCTAATTTGGCAATGAGAAGAAAATCGCACAGACACAACTGCCTTCAGAGGAGATGTGTGCCTCTCCATTCACGGGTGCCTTTCCCCTGAGGTATTTCTGATAGAAAATTGTTTTACTACATCTAGGCAATGTTCCGGATGAGATATAGCAAAGAAGGTCCATTTTTATTTTGTAATATGTGACAATACCTTTAAGGTGATATCAGTTCAAGGGATGCATACTGACAAAACAGTGAATGGCATGATATTTGAGAATTGCTTTAGTCGTTATATGGGACAGATAAAGTAAATGTAGGAAAATCTTGATAATTGTCATTCTGAGTGATAGTATGGGGATTACTACTATTGTTCGTGTTTAGCAATTTCATAATTGAAAAATCAGGTATCAAGAGAATATAATTATGAGGGTATCTTTAAACATGTGTTTTGAAAAACACTGAATAGCTCTGTATGCTATCCAGAACAAGCACATTTCCCACTAAGACCACTGTGTCCTTGAAAGCATCTGGACATATTTGCTCAATGACACCATATAAATGATGTACCATCCTCTGTATTTAAATAATTTATTAAAATAGTTTTTCTTGACAATATTTCTTTTAATGTATAAAACCAATTTAATATTAATACCATGGCAGTTTTCCAGCCTTACTCATAGAATTGGTCTTGATGGTTATTGCATCTTTAAGGATAAATTCTGAATAGAATTTTGCTCTTTCCCTCTCTCTCTTTTTTTTTTATATTCATTGAAAGGCCAACGATTTTATCCACCACCACTACCAGTAATACTGCTTGAACCGATTAACTTCAAACACTGCCCAAGTGTGTATTTCTTCATACTAAAAAATAAGTGACGTGGCATTCCATTGTAATTATTTTAAGCTCTTTAACTCTTATAAAACATATCATCCTTTAAAAAATGCCATTGAAATATCCCTCAGCTGGTTAGCATACACAGGCAATTGCTAAATTAGCTTATTCAGTTGGTCTGTAGACTGTTGTGTTTATGGCACTATTCATTCAAGGAGAATGGTTGCCATGCCTCTTGTTTAATACATGCTTTTCAAACCTGGTGAAAGTCCCATAGTGGGACATTAAATGAAGGAGCAATTCAGTAATCATTTATCAAGAGGGCTAAGACAAAAAGCCAAGTTCTCTACACCTGTATCTGTAACAAATTACCCTTTGCTATCAAAATAAGAAAAATGGGTTTGGTGGAAAAATCCAGAAAACTACAGTAAGAAATTCCTGAGAAGCCAATTATAGGGGCTAAAACATTTTCGATGCTAACAAATCCTTTGGCATGTATCGATAATGCATTTCAGTCCCACATATAAATAGCGGTAAAATCTGTGCTTAGGAGGAGTGGAGAAGTTCAAGACTTTCCCAGCACTCCTCCACAAATAACAAAGAGGAGAGGGGGCAGTTGGCAGTAGCAAGGGAATTCCTGCATATACTGAGAAAGATACCTTGCATAAAGCAAATAAAAGCCCTCAGTTAGCCACAGGTGGTATCAGCTTTCTCCACAAACCACCTGCCCTAAAAACTAGGGTCGCAAGTAAACAAGATAGAGTAGTGAAATTTGAATTGTCAAAGTTAAGGAAAACTTTGATCTATAAACCAAATTTGTAAACCAAAGGGAAATCTAAATAAAAGCCTCGTAAACCATTTAATAAAAGCAATCCTTTACAAAATTTGGCTGATTGCTGTAAGGGCCTGCTCAGGTTACAGCATCGATTTTCTCATTTGTTTAGCCTAGTCCTGCATTCCAGTTAATAGGTTCTTCAAAGAATGTATAAAACTCCCATTTTGAAATCCAGTGATAGCATAAGAACTCTGTGCAATAAATATTAAGATAATTTTCCAAGATCTTGCTCAGCGAGTGCTCTAATAACACGTGCTACCTTCAGATGTGAAAGCATAATCCTCATTGTCCTAAATACTTGCACACTTTTTTGTATGTCCTGCCAACACAACAACTTGGCGGCTGGCAAAATCGCTATAGAACTAGGTAGTGAAACTGTAAGGCAGAAGCCCCCTTTCATTTTTCCCCCTCTGTATTCTGCATGTTTTATTTGTTTGTTTATTTATTGAGTGTTTTTTAATGTAAGGTTTACGCCCAGCGTGGGGCTTGAACTCACGACCCCAAGATCAAGAGTCACGTGCTCTACTGACCGAGCCAGCCAGGCGCCCCTGTTTTCTGCATGTTTTAGATAAAAATCACACATGGTTATTTGATTCAGCTAGGGTCATGTAAGACTGGAAAAGGACAGGTAAGGTAAACAATTGACTTTGGAAGTTGTCCAGATTAACCTTTGAAGTAGCTTAGACTTTTAGCTCCCTTAATAAGAATGCCCTGTTACCATTACTATGTAACTTTTACCAGCTCCTAGAGTCCTCCATGATCCTCAGTGACATTTCCCAACCTGTACAACTGAGTTAATTAGAGAAATCTATGCTGTGTAAAATTCATTCTCTCTCTCTTTTTTTTTTTAAGATTTTGTTTATTTATTTGACAAAGGGAGAGAGTGCAAGTAGGCAGAGTGGCAGGCAGAGGGAGAGGGAGAAGCAGACTCCCCGCTGAGCATGGAGCCCGATGTGGGGCTCGATCCCAGGACCCTGGGATCATGACCTGAGCTGAAGACAGACGCTTAACTGACTGAGCCACCCAGGCGCCCCTAAAATTCATTCTCTTGACAACTGTTTTTTCTTGCTGAAATATGTTGGCATCATGTTCAGCCCTAAGTGAATTAGAGTGGAGGAAAACAAGAGAAAGGGTGTCAGGAAATCCAAAGTTTACAGGCTAATGTGAAAGTTTTAGAGTGGCAAAGGAGGTAGGATCCTTAGATTCTAATTTTCCTCTTTTAGCCATAAAATCTCACTGTATCAATGCTTTTCTTTATAAATAGGGGCGTCTGGGTGGCTCAGTCGTGAAGCGTCTACCTACAGCTCAGGTCATGATCCCAGGGTCCTGGGATTCAGCCCCGCGTTGGGCTCCCTGCTTAGCTGGGAGTCTGCTCTTCCCTTTCCCTCTGCTCTTACCCCAGCTCGTGTTCTCTCTCTCTCTCTGTCTCAAATAAATAAATAAAATCTTTAAAATACATACATACATACATACTCTAGATAACCACATAACCTGTTAAAACATACTCTCACTTTTTTTTTTAAAGTAATCTCTACACCCACCATGGGGCTTGAACTCACAACCCTGAGCCAGCCAGGCGCCCCTCTTTAGCTTTTTAGTGATTATGACATATGTTCATGGTGTAAAATTCTTTCCTAGTATGAAAGAATGTAAAGTCAAAAGTAAAAAATCTCCCAGTCTAACCTTTGGCCCCTTTTCATTCCCCAGAGGCAATGGCTATTAAAAGGTTTTTGGTAAAGTAGATTTATTTTTTTTTAATTTTTAAAAAAGATTTTATTTATTTTAGCAAAAGAGCTCATGAGCAGGGATGGGAGGGTGGGGAAGGAGGTCTGAGGAGGAGGGAGGGGGAAAGAATCTCAAGCAGACTCCACGCTGAGCACCAAGGCAGGGCGGGTGGAGGGTTTGATCTCATGACCCTGAGATCCTGACCTGAGCCGAAGCCAAGAGTCGGATGCTTAACTGACTGAGCCACCCAGGCAACCCTGGTAAAGGTACATTTTAATACATTATTTTAAATTGAGACCAGCTAATATTCTCTTGTCACTCTTTATTACCATTCAGAATGTTAAGTACTTATATGTTCTCTATTTTCTGCCTTATTCTTACCCCTTGAAGTTGTGGGCTTATGACTCTTTTGACCATTCCTCTAGCCCTGCCTGCCAATTCTTTCTATAATTGTCCTATTTATTGTCTCTGCCCTTCTCATTCCATGCTGCCTCTTTGGCTGAACTGTGAAAGCCAACTCTCTAAAGCACAGAATCTCTACTTTTGTGGAGCATTTTATCTTCAACATTAGCAGGACTTTCTGAGAAAAACTCTCAAGTTTTTTTATTTATTTATTTATTTTTTAGTAACCTCTATACTCAGTGTGGGACTTGAACTCACGACTTCAAGATCAAGAGTCCCATGCTCTTCCGACTGAGCCAGCCAGGTGCCCCTGGGAAAAACTCCTCTACTTACTTTTAGGCACCTCTGATCCCTGTTCACCTACATTTAAACCTCTAATGACCTCTAGTTTCCTCGGACTTCTTAACCTTTTCCAACTCACAGCAAGAGATAATTTCTCTTCCCAGAGAAAATGGAGATCATCAAGCTTTAAAATCAGACTCACTCAAACTACATTTACATCTGCTACATTTCTATTTTCCCTTTGTAGTCTTGGTTAATCTCTCTACACCTCAAGAACCTTGATCTAACAATCACTCCCTTTCTTCCTCAGATTTTTCAATATGTCAAAACTGATCTGTTTCATCTTTTATTTTATTTTTTTAAAGATTTTATTTATTTGAGAGAGAAAGAGAGAATGAGAGAGAGAAAGCACATGAGGGGGGGAGGGTCAGAGGGAGAAGCAGACTCCCTGCTGGGCAGGGAGCCCGATGCGGGACTCGATCCAGGGACTCCAGGATCATGACCTGAGCTGAAGGCAGTCACTTAACCAACTGAGCCACCCAGGCGCCCCTGTTTCATCTTTTAAAAAGAAGAAAACACGTGCACCACTGACCCCATGGTGCTCTCTAGTGACTAGGCCATGTTCTTCTCTGCATAGTCAAATTTCTTAAAAAGGTATCTATTTCCTTTCTTACCATCTGCTCCCCACTGCATTCTGGGAAAGATCTCCAGTGACTTCTCAATCCAGTGAACACATTTTGATTCTGGTCTGTTATCTTGCTATGGGTCAAATAGTGAATAGATTTTCCTTGGTTTCATGATGATACCATGCTCCCTTTTGATTATTTATCTCTGAAATGAATCACTACTCCTTGGTACCTGTACAGGGTGTCCACTTGCCTACTTGGAATCACCTTAGCTGTTCTAAGTCACTTCAAGTTCAATACCAGGGCGCCTAGGTGGCACAGTCAGTTAAGCGCCTAACTCTTGATTTCTGCTCAGGTTGTGATCTTAGGGTCGTGAGATTGAGCCCCACGTCGGGCTCTGTGCTCTGTGTG